GCGGCTTCCTCCGCATTCCGTTCTGCACACAGGGAGACGGGGGTGAGCGGGTGTTGACCTGGAAGACCCCACGCCTCCCACCCCCTTTGTCCCCTGGATTAAAGGACGCCGTTTCGCAGGAGGGGAAGCCGCCGAACAGCTGGGCCGGCCCGGTCCGTCGGCCCGTGTTCTCTGCTTCGGGGTGGAATTCCCCTTTTGCGCCGGCAGGTGCCAGAGGCGGAATCGGGCAAGCGCTGACCTCTCTCCCGCCCCCCGGCTGATGGCCAAGCATCGGTTCAGCTCGTTGCTGGAGCCCCCACCCGGCCGGCACGGGGAGCAGTGGGGCAGCCCACGTGCGGGGCCCGCCCTCTCCCACTGGCCGCTTGCTGGCAGGGCGCGGGGGCAGCTCGGCAGCCAGCTGGCCCGGCGCCCCATGTTGGCGTCCAGGGAACTGGGGCTGACGTCGGACTGCTCCGCACGGGCCTGCTTGTGGCTCAGCCGGGCGCCAGACGAGGAGGTAAATGGCAATACAGCGCGCCCAAGCACGTGCAGAGTGTTCCCTGAGCCGCAACCCAAGCCTCCCTTCCTCGAAACCAGCACCAGTTGCGCTCCCTGCCTTAGCCACGGCCGGCTCCATTTCTCGGGCGCTTAGCCCTCTGGGCCGTGAGGTCCTGGCGCTGCCCTTCGCTGCCCCGGCCCTCCTCAAGCCCCCTCCCCAGAGGCAGCCACCTGTGACTTCCAGCCCGGTCCCCCGCAGAGGAGGAGGGGCTGCCGGGTGGGGGGGAGGGCTGCTGAGGCCGTTTCCCGAGGGGAAAGGCACCATGCGATCCCCATGGAAAATCCGTTGGGTTTTCCTGGGCCGGCTGGGTCAGAATCCTCCACGTCAGGGAGCCCACGGAGCCCTGGCAGGATCGGATGGGCTGGCGCACTGTGAAGGCCCACGAGTCTCCTTGGCCGGCGCAGAACTCACTGGTGCGGCCGTCCCCCCAGTCGGGGCCCCTGCTTGGGTGGACGGTGTTTGGTGGATCAGGTGCACCCCTAGTCCGGGGCCTGGATCCCCGCGGCACCCTCAGCTGCCGGTGGACCGTCTCCCCCTCGCGCTGGCGGGACTACGGCCCGCCTCTCCCGCCGGCACCGCCTGTGCCGGGCCCCCGCGCGCCCCACGCCTCAGCACCCACCTGGCCCAGGGGAGCAGCCGAGGCCAGAGCAAGCAGGGCCGTGGCCAGGGGCAGCCAGGCCTCCTTCATGGCGAGCTGGCCGGCCGTCCTCCGTGCTCTGGCTCACGGGCAGGCGCGCAGCGGCAGGCGGACCGCCCTCCCCCCGCCCCTGGACCTTGACTCTTCCCTGCCGGGCGGGCGCTTGAGGGGGCCGGGCCGGGGCGTCGCCTGCCATCGGTCCCATTAGCCCAGGAGAAAAACTCGCGAGGAGCAGCCAGCATCTCCCTGGATAGATCATTGGCAACGGCTCAGTTCACACGTCGCGCCGACCGACCCTGCCATGAGGGTGGGCCGGGAGCTCGCAGCACCACCGGCCCTGGTGCCCTTCCAGCTGTTCCCCAGGGGTGGGATACCAGTCTGGCCCCTCTTCCTGCTAGTCAAAAGCCCCCCTGTGGTCTCTGCACTCCCCACCTTTTCCAGAGATCTCCTTTGGCAGTCTGAGCTGGCTGCAAATGAGCCACTCCAACCTGTCCAGGCAGCACGTCAGAAGCGTAGAAGCAGAACACGTCGGAAGGGGTCTCCCGGGCCATCTAGTCTGACCCCCAGCTCCAGCCGGCTCTGCTCACAACACGCCCACCAAGTGCATGTCCAGCCTGTCCTCGAACACCCGCACCGCTGCGGCTTCAGCCACCTCCCGTGGAAGCCCATCCCATCCCCGTCAGGAAGAACTTCCTGGCACCCACCCTAAAACTTGGTTCCCTGAACTTTGCTCCATTGGAGCACACCCTGCCCTCCACCACAGGGGAAAACCTCTGCGTGGCACCCCAGAGAGCAGCTATCGCTGGTTTGACCCCCATTTTTAATTTTTTTAAAATTCTTCATTAGCCAGTGAGGGGAAGGGACTGGTCAGCCGTTGCTTATTCATTTTAGTTGGACTTGCAGGGGCCTGGAACTGGCAGTTTTGCCTGGGCAATGTCCCGGGAATTGCCTGTCGTCACAGTGCAGCAGGAACTGATGGTGGCCCCTGGCCCGAAGGAGCTGCTAACGTGGCTACTACTTACTTTGCTTCTCCCTGACAGCTGTCAAAAGCTGAGCTGTCCAAGGAAAGCCAAGCTTCTTTCCCCATGAAAAGGGGTGGCCAATCGATCGCTCCATCTCGGCAAGGTTTCCCAATATTTCTCTCTGCTCCTGCCTCTTTGGCCTTCATCTTTTTCACCCTTTTGCAAGATTCTAAGAGCTTGGGAAAGCGCAAAAAGGGGAGCCAGCCCGGCTTTAGCGTCTTTTCACCTCCTTGCCACCCGCTTGATGAGCAAAGCTCACCTGTGGCTTTGCTCTCCTCGGATGGTTCACCTTTCGACAGCTCTTAGAGAAAGCCAAATGAAGGTGGAGATCTGCAGGTCTTGTTTTGGCCTTCCAGGGTAGGCAAATAGTCATTGCCCCATAAAAACACACACACACATTGAGAAATCCAGGATTTTAGTAGCGCTGCGATTGGCCAGCGGAGTGTCCACCCAACACAACAGGCAGACCATAAACACAGGCGCTGAGGATTTTCCTGACTTGTGCCGACGGCCTCCCCGGGTTACCTAAACATTGAAACATATCCCGCCAACGTACACAGATAAAGTCCATCACTCTCGGCCCACGTTGTGGGGGGCAGAGCTGTGGCTTGTGCCCGCCCCGCGAAGCTGCCCAGGGGCCCGACGTCCACTGTGGTGGGGGCGCTGGCAAGGGGCGCGGCCGTGTTCCCAGCCCTGCCGTTCAGCAAGTGTCTCTTCCGAGTTTTCCGGAGGAGGTTAGTCAAATGCGATTTAAGGGGCTGTGAGGAGGGGGGCAGCAGCCGCGCTCTTTGCGAGGGGCTACCAGGGTCTCCAGCACAGACTGCCGGCTCCCCCCAGGCTGCTGTGCCCAGGAGCCCTTGCCGCCGCCCGGCATCTCTCCCACCCACCCACCCGCCCACCCAGCCGTGGGCTGCAGGGCGTGGGGGCTTAGGCGCACCGTGGGGCTTGGGCTCCCGCCGCGTGGGCCTCTGCGGGCAGGTGCTTGCTGGCTCCGCACTGCGGTGGAGCCTGGCCCTTGGCGGCCGGCCGCCTGGCCTCACAGCGGTGCTACGATGACGCCCCCTTTCACCCCAGATGAGGAAGACCACACGGCTGGGGAGCGACAGCCACACTGCATTTCCTGCCCAGGAGGGAGTGGGGAGACGGGGGTGATGAACTGCGTGTAGCCCCCTGCTGACACGCCAGCCTGACCTCGAATGCAGCAATCAAAGGGGCAGTGGACACGGGTTGCAGCCGCCGGGAAGGCTGCACATGGGCAGGGAGTGAGAACAAGGCAAGGCTGCGTGGATCTCGAGGGGATGAGAAATAGACGAGGGAAATGTCTGGTCCTTGACAGAAGAAAAGACTCTTTCTCCAGCATGGGAGGGGCGCATACGTTGATGTATTGATATATTAGATGTGTATTAGGTGACCGAATTGGTTACCCAGGGTATAAAGCGCCGTGCCAGGGTGCAACTTTCGAGACACTGCGCACTGACCGGCCATGCGAAAGCTCGGACGAGTCGCGTCTCATGACATCACCGCCTGTCGCCGCTACTCCCTTCCGAGCATGCGCAGGGCCCCCGTGTGCGCTGTTATCCGATGCTCGGCTGCTGGGGCGATGCTGGGGCGACTTGGCTCGCATGCTGATACAGAGGGCTCTGTGTATCCGCTGTGGCACTCGTGCCATAGGTTCACCACCACTGGCCTAACCCTACCCTGGTGCACACCTCTAACCCTAATATAGGGCTACAGTTCCACTGAAAATAGGAAGATTTTGAAAAAGCCTTCCTTGAGTAACCTTTTCTGCACAGCTCATCATTTCTGCCCATTCTAAACACATTCCATCAAAACCATGCCATGACACCTCGTTTCTCTAACCCTAACCCTACCCTGGTGCACAACCCTGACCCTAATATAGGGCTAAAGTGCCATTGCAAATTGGGCGCAACCCCCAGCAGCAGACACACTGGATTTAGCGCATGCCCGTCCGAGCCCTTGGGGGAAACAGAACTTTACTGAACAAACCCAAACAGGGCGGCTTTTTTTAAAGGGCAAACACTCCGTAAGGCAGAGACACACATGTGAAGAGGAGGGGGAAAGGAGAGGGTCTTGCATGGCAGCAGACAGATTAGAGTTAAGAACCTGAACACCACACCCCAAGCCTTTCGACTGCATCAGACCTAAAACGACAAAGCTGGCTGACCCGTGGCTAACAACAGGCAGGATATTCAACAGGGCTTTCTCGTGAGCAGCGGCCTTCAGCAGCAACTGGTCTCTCTCCAAGGAAGCCCTTCTTTTTCCCCTGCCCCCCGGAATCAGGACCGCTGGTGCCGTGGGGCGATGCCTCCCGAGTGGTCCAGGTGGAGACCCCCACCTTCCCAAGGTGCTCCCCCCGGGAGCCTGACTGGCCTGCCCATGGAAGAGTCCGGCGCTTGATGCTTTTCTCCCCAGCCCTTGGCCCAGTCTTGGCGTTGGCCTTGAAAGCTCCCCCGGGACTGTGCAAACACCAGCCGAGATTTACCTCTTCCTGCCCCCCCGGCCCCCCCAGGACACTGCAGCTCCTCCGTAACACGAGGATGTGGCTGTGACTCGGTAGCTTGCAGGGATGCTGGGGGGGCGGGGGGCACACTGGCATTTTGTGCTGAGTCTGCATTTTGGCCACCGGGAAAAACTTCCTTCCATTACATTTGCTTTGCTGTTTTGCTGCTCATTCTTGCTTTCAGGCGACTTCCCAGTTGCTTGGAATCCCATCTGGGGAAAAGCATCTTAATTTCCTTCCTCTTTGGGGAAGGGAGCACCCAGAACAGGCTGATGCCAGGAATAGATTTTAACACATTTTATTGTACAGTGTGAATACAATAAATCCAAAGCAGAAACTCCAAGTCTTCAGTGTAAAATTATGAAGGACTGAGCGAAATAGACACTAAAGATGAAATCGCAGTGCATAGGATACAGGTAGCATTAGGTCGGCCTCATACATCATATTCAAAGCAAGGCAAAGCAAAGGAGTACATAGAGCAGAGCAGAGCTCATAGGACAAAAAAATACTAAGACTTCAAATTAATGCAGATCTTTTCTAAAGAAATAGATGTCCAAGCAACTAGAGCCATTGATAATTCTTTTCTAAAAAGGCCCTTTGGGTTCAGGCCACTGTCCTTCTGTCTGCTCTCTCACCCAAAAGCTGAGCAGCCTGGCCCCTAGTATATTTATTTTATTTATTTAAACAACTTATATGACGCCCCATCGCATGCTGCAGCCACCTAGTGTTGATGGAAAGTTACTCTGTGCATGGCCAGAGGCACTCTTGCCTTTATGGTTCAGTTTCCTTTATCATGGCTGAGACCTGGAATAAACACTTCCAGGGCTACACCAGCTCGAATACACCATGAACTGGAGACCGGGTGTGACAGATTTTACTGTGCTGGAGCTAAAACAATTAAGCAGAGTAATTAACTTGAGGACTCACAAGTTGGTAAGGGCACTTAGCACTGGGTGCAAAGTTTAAAGGGAGAGGGTGCGAAAAGGCGAGCGATGTAACAGAGGCAGCGAGGAACTACAGTCCGAGGCCGGCCGGGCCGGGGGAGAAGGAAGTCGCCCCGTGAGGTGGGGGGGCTGAATCTGGGGGCCCCCTGCGTGAATCCCGGGGCGGCACCGCTGTTGGCTCTGCTTCCAGCCCTGCTGCAAAGCGGTGCCAGAGCAGCTGTGGCGTCCGGTGCGGACGCAGCCCAGGGAGGCCTGGCAGGAAACGGGATCTCGGGGAGAAGGCAGCTTCCCACGAGTCCTCGGGGGCCGTCAGCAACGAGGACTCCCAGTTCCGCACGGACATAAGGATGGCTCTGCCGGGCAAGGTTTTAATCTTAGAATGCGAATGCTCAGCCGGAGCGCCCAGCCCAGGGACAGCGCCTGCCCGCGCCCGTCGGTGTGTGTGTGCCCCGGGCAGGGGCACCCCGTTTGCTGGCCGGCATGTGTGGGCGGTGGAAGGAGGTGCTCCTCGCCAAGGGACTCTTGCGCATGCCTTCACATGTTCGGGGCCCAGGAGGTCACGGCAGGGGCGCATCGGCTGCGCTGGGAGCACCACAAGGCGCCTCTCAGGTGATCTGCTGGAGGCGAAAGGGGCCGCAGCCTCCCGCAGTCCCACTGCCAGCGCTGAGACGTCTACCCGGCGAGATGTTCGAGGGAAACCTCCGTCTCGGCCTGAGCAAGAGCCATCGGGGGTGGGGGGGCATCTCACTGCTCTGAGCACGGGGACAAGCGAAGCAAGAGCGACTGAAGAACACACCAGAAACCGGATCTCATTAAAATCCGTTTGAATTAGCTATGCCAAAGATGCAAACCAGCCTTTCACATAATTACATACTTTTTGGGGTCTACTAAGATTAGCATTGTGCTTTTTGGCTGCTTTCTGCTCGGCCGGAAGCAGCGGCTCACCCCTGGCAATCTTGTTCACAATCACAGCCATTTCTCTCACCCCTTCAAGCGAGCGGATGCGATCCTGGAAGCCAGGCTTCGCTTCCTGTTTCTCGGCTTCAATCAGCAGATCAATGTGTTCTGGAGTGGCCATGGGGATAGGCTTTAAGGCAATTTCCTGCAGCCGCTCGATACTGCGAGAGGATTCCTCGATCAGCCTGAGCACAACGTGTTCCATGTCCTGATAGTCCTCATAAAGCTGCTCAAAGATTTTCTCTGTCGTCATGGCTTCTCCGCGGGCCTTTTCGTATCTGGCCTTGAGTTGCGTGTATGTTTGCTTCTCCTTTTTCGTCTTGTACTCCCACCTGTACTTCTGGTTGTAATGTACATCCCATACACACTTCCCGGGACAAACTGTGCACTTGCCTTTATCCATAGAAGAGCATTTGTACTTATCTGCATCATTGCTATAAGCACAGGGGTAATGGCAGGTGAAGTGGCAAGTTTGGCAATTTGTCAAGAACCCCTTCGTGACCTCATGTTTCACCGGCACGGTATGTTCAACCTCCACCTCAAACTCCTTGTTCGCATCCATCTCGTCTCTGTGCTGTTCCAAAGCTTGCTGCGTCTTCCTTATGGCTTCCAGTGTGGCCAGACCGGCTTTGATCTGTGGCTGCAGCCCCTGCACCGCCGTTTCCAGCCTCTTCCGTTCTTGGAGCACCTCTTTGGTCAGTCGTAAACTTCTGGGTTCCAAAGTTTGCAAAGAAGCAAAGAAATCCTTCATGCTGTAAGCTCCCATTTTCCAGAACATCGCGTCAAAGCAGAAAGTGTCCTCACTGGCTGCGTGATTGCTAGCAAACAAAGCGGAATTGTTGAATTTGTAGTGGACAAGGCTGCCATCCAGATTCTGAGCACAGGGCACCTCTGACTCCAAAATGGCTTCCAGAACAGGGGGACGCTGTCCGTCTGCAAAAGTGACCAGGATTTGTATGTTGCCCTTGATGTCCTTCCCGAAAATGGAAAGCACCGAGTCAAAGACATATTTCTGCGCTTGGGTCAAGCGTGGTAAAGAAGACTGGACCACAAAACAGATGCCATCAATATGCTCAATTCCCCCTGGAGTGGAAAAGAAATCCCGGATCTTCGCTGTGATCTGCTTGTCATGCTCGATCCCTCTGGTGTCTCCAAACCCTGGGGTGTCAATTATGGTTAAGTTATACGGGATCTGAAAGCCGTGGGTATAATTGACGGCGTAGGCAGTGACGCCGGCCGTCTGGCTCTGTGCCTGGCTTCTGTGGGTCTCTTCGTGGATCAGCTTGAAGCGGAAGTGGTCCTTCCACTCCACGCCCAGGATGTAGTTGACCATGCCGTTGATCAGGGTGGTCTTCCCTGACCCCGTGGCCCCCATCACCATGATCACTTTATGGGGGAACCAAGCATTTTCATGCCCCAGCTTGTATTTCATACAACTGGAAGAAGAAGAGGCGGATGGTTTTATTGGGAGTTGATAAATGGACAGTGGCCCACATTCCTCTAACTTTCTACTTTGTTTGAGGAGCTTGACTGCTGCTCTTTTATCTTCTGACAGTGGAATAGCAGGTTCTGGCGCAATGGCCGTCTCTGCATGTGAGGAAGCCAAAGAGTCATCGCCCGGAATATTCTTCTTTCTTCCCTTGCTGTCACATCGTTTCATTTTGGCTCCTCCTCCTTTTGGTCCTTCTTCCTTCCCGTTATCTCTTGCAGGTTCATACTGTTGCCCACCGTGGTCGGAGCCTACGGAACTGGCTCCGTGGCCAGTGAGGGGGCTGGGTGGGCGTTCGGCTGTGATTTTCTCGGATCCTGCAGGGACTCTGATAGGAAGCGTCCTCACGGTGCCTGTTGGGTCACTGCGCTCGCTGAGCCCCAGGCTGCCTACAGCGGCGTATCGGAACTGGTACCCCGTATCCGGGAGAAGCCCCGTGACGGTGCAGGTCTCCTGTTTATCTCCGGTGTTCACAGCCACCCAGTCCTCCTGCCCTGCAGCCCTATACTCCACCCGAAAGGCAGAGATGTCACGCTTGCCGTAGCTGGCCGGCGTCAGGAGGAGCTGGATGGTGTCCTGGCCGACTTCACCAGGCACCGGAGGGGAAGGCTGGGAGGGGGACTCAAAATTGGTGCTGACCAGCTCTCCATCCTCGTACAGATAAAGGGACGCTCCAGGGTGCTCCTGATCTGGGAGAGCCGTGATGATCAGCTTGGTGTCGTCGGAAGACAAGCTGGCCAGCCCCGAGAAGGCCCTGGCAGCTTCCCGGGCTCTTCGGCTTATCTCCCTGTGCTCGAGCCATAATTTATAATCAGGTGTCTCACTGCCAGAAGCTGTTGGTCCATGGCTTTGACTTTTTCTAATTGCTAGCGAGCTTTCCAGGTCTGACAGATATGGCTCCTCATCTTGTAAAGAGGTGAACACAAATGCAAGAACGCACTTCAGCATGGGATTGACTAGGAGCTGGTCTAACTCTTTCTTCGTGGCTACGACCTCCGCACCTTTCAGGGCCGCAAGGTAGCTATTCACAAATGTCATCTCCTTCTCCTTTCTCTCTAGGAATGCACTGAGCTGCTCAAAGCTGAACAGTGACTGCTTATTGCTAGTTAAAATTTCCACAATGCAATCTTCACCTTCCTCTCTTCGACGGATTGCTGGGATAATTCTTGACAGACGTTTCTGAAACAGCTGTTTGTACTGTCGAATCAGACCTTGGAAGCGCTGTAGTTTGCTCTTCATCGCCGGAAAAGTCGTGGCAACAGGAGCATTTGCCAGGCCAGCGCACTGCTTGTCTATTTCTGCCAGCTGCTGCAGGATATTCTGGATTTCACAAACAAGTTCTGTACAGATTTCATGGGAATTGTGCACTATTTTGGGCTCCAGCAGATCCAGGGGCTGCAGCCAGAGCCTCACAGGCACAGCCTGCTCAGCCAGGTCCTTGGGGAAGGTGGAATACATGTCCACCGCTTCTTTGAAAGTCATGGAACGACCTTCTGGGTTTCCTGGGAAAGTATCACTATATACCCTGCAAGCCGTTTTCTCGGCTCTTGCCTTCTCCGTCTCAGACAACTCGGCGAGCCCTTTGCCTCCATTTGGAAGAAATCTTGGCATTCCTTCAATCAGGGCACGGAGGTTCTTCTGTATTTCGTGTACATCCTCGGAGGGAGAGACCGGCTGCTCAAACACAAAGAAGACCTGAGCCCCGTACTGAATGCCAGTAACGACATGGGTCGCTGGCGGTAGATTGCCATCCCTGGGGCAGGAGAGGGCGGCCTGGTTCAGCTGCTTGAGCTTGGTTGTGGTGGAGTAATGGAGGGTGACCCGGGCCAGGGGGCGGCAGCGCTGGCTGTCGCCCAGGATCTGTGCGGCTCCGCGGGCCTCCACCAAACCGCACAGCAGGCTCAGCCGCAGGGCTCCTGGCGCTCGCAGAGCCGACAGCTGGTCTGCGAGGGAGTCTGATTCGATGATGCGACTCTCGGTCTTGGGGCTCGGCTTCACTTGGATATTCTCTCCCAGCACCTTGTTGTCCCACAGCGTGGCACCTAAAAAGTCATAAATGCACATCGGTTTGCTCAGAGGGGTTTTGGGTTGGAGACAATAGCCACATGCATTTCGCCACATGGGCATTCATGCTCCATGAAAATGGAAGGAGAGGCACAGTGCTATGTACTGTAGGTTTAAAGGGAAAAGGGGCCTGCGCTGTCGGAGCGGTGGAGCTTTTCCTGTCTTGTTCGGCAGCCCAGGAAAATCAGGGGTGAACTGCCGTGCTGCAGTGGGCAGAAGGCCTTCCGCGTCCGGTGCCGGCCAGCCTGATGCCCCCAGGAAGCTGCAGGCAGGGCTGGAGGAGGTGGGCAGGGTCCTCCCAGCTGTCCCAGCCTCCGCTGCCTCTGGACTTGGGCGCTCTGTGCGTGCCGCAGCCGGGAGGGCAGGGGTCTTGCGCTGCGGGGGAGGCCTGGCCAGCGCTGGGAGCGGGCATGGTGGGGTGCCCCCCACAGCTACCCACAGCCAGGAGTCCCTGGGGCTGGCACGATGCCGTTCACCGTGGCCAGACAACGGGGGCGCTGAGGAGCCGCAAGAGGTGCCCCCTTCTTTCTCGAGGGCTCTTTGTCTGCCAGGCGAGCTGAGCGATGATAAGGAAAAGGACGTAGATTCGGGAGCGGGCGCTTGAGGGGACCGTGGCCAAGGCCCCCCAGGCACCTGCCTGCAGCCGGCACTGCTCCGGGGCCCTGCCCGGGCAGAGCGTTCTGCACCTGGCCCGGCGGGCGCCTGCCGTCGTATCGCTGCCCAGCCTGGGCACAGCTGCCCCCCAGCAGAAGCGCCCAGAAGGCTCCCCCAGAGGCGGCCCGCTGCGTTTTCTGTCTGCACGACCCCTCCCACAGCCCCATCCCCCCGATGCCGCCGAAGCCGCGCTGCCCCTTGCGACAGGAGCGCCTCTCTTGGCGGGGGGCTGGGGGGCCAGCGGCCGGGCGAGGCCCACACAGGGATGCGTGGCCTGGCTGGGAGGGGCTCGGAGGGCCGTCTGCCCAGTCCTCTGGGGGAAGTTACCTGGGAGGAGGGCGTCTCTGCAGCAGTCATACAGCATTCCGAGCTGCACCTCGCGGCCCAGCGCCAAGGTCTCCGTTGGATGGCCTGCCCCGGCCATCGTTCCACATCCAAAGCTGTTCTGTTCACTGCACCTGCAAGAAGCTGGAAAAAGTCCACCCAGACTTACTTTACTGGTGAGGACGGGAGCTTCTCCGTCGAGCAAGCCACACCACGCTGGGAAATGTGGTTTCTCGACAGCAATAACCGTGTGATATGCAGGCTTGTATGCGCAGAGGGGGTCGTCTCCCAACCCCATATCTGGCCGACTGGCTCGGCACACCAAGCGTCCGACATGCAGCCGCAGCATCCGCTGCTCGCTCCGTCTGCCACACACCACGGCATCGCGCCTCGTTTTTCGTTTGCAAGACCTTCCCGCCAGCCCTGCGGCTCACTCGTTCCTCCTGCTCTTATGCCACTGATGCGTCTGCTTCTTTTCAGATGCTTCCAGATCATGATAAAGGTGAGTCTTAATTCATTATTAAATCAAGCTCACAAACTGCCGGGGAATTAACTGCCGTTCGCCTTAAGCCATGGGCAAAGAGGAAGCACATCTTGTTGCCTGCAGGAGTCAACTGGCAGTAGAGCTCGTTTTCTCTGTGAATTTGTCCAAACCACGAGCTCACGCCCCCAGCACGCCATGGAAGTTGTGCAAGAGCCCCCGAGCCCCCCCAAGAGTCTTTGGTCCCTTTATCCTCACTGGCCGCCGAGGCTGATGAAGATAAGCTTGCTTTTAACGGGCTCAGTGCACTGGGGGCCAAAGTGACTGCAGGCAGTTCACAGCCCTGAGCACAGGATACGGAGCCGGGCAAGAGCAGCGCTCCCGATTTAAGGGAGGCCGCAGGGCTGGTCTCTCGTGTCCGAGCTGTGGAGGCTGCAGCAGCTGTTTTGGGCCCAGGCCCAGGTCTGAAACGGTACTATTTGTCTATAAATGTTTTCGCAGAAGTAGCTGCTTGATGCACGAGGCTTGACTAGCCTGACCCACCCCTCCCGTCTTTATTCAGAAGGAAGACCCACTGTTGGCGCAAGGGGGTGATGGAAAGCTTCCTGGAGCATCCTTCCGTCGGTGGGGGCGGAAGAACTGGGCGCTGGCACTGGCTCTTAGGGTGGGGTGGGGCTCCCCCAGGCAAGGGCTGGGCCGGTTCCACATGGGGGGCTGCATACAAGCAGTGGGCAAGCTGCCCCACCGTGGGCTGCAGCCCCCTGGCCCAGCCCCCGCGCCCTCTTCCTCACACGCGCCTTCGCTCCCTCGCACTCTCCCGCACCTGCACGCCCGCCCCGCCTCCTCTGCTGCCTGCTGGCACCGTGGCCACGCTCGGGGCCCACGGGGGCTTTTGGAGAGTCGACTGTGGCAGGCAGTCTGGGGGGGGGGCTTTGTCAGATACAGCCCACGCACCCAGACCCCGGAGAGGGAATGCGAAAGCCAGGGCCCGATCCGCGGTGTGCGGTGCCTCTTCCTGCCTTTCGCCCCCTTGCGCTCGCAAGGGAACTCCTGGGGTCCCTCTCAGACAGCACCCCAAAGAACAACACATCGTATTCCTCTGGTGTGCTGTCTGTGAAGCAACTTTATTTTCTGTTCTTCACCAAAGACAGCCAAGGCAGGGCTGTTCCTTCTCAGCTTTAACCCGCCCTTTGGGCAGGGCTGCAGCTGCTTCCAGTTCTCTGCTTCCATCCGGCAGCATCTACCAGCGGGGAGGGGTAAAAGTCTGATCTGAATGGAAAATACCAGTTGAACACCAGTGAACTAATAGTGAACTAATAGGCCAACGCTGTCAAACAAGATCAGGAAATGCAAATACTTCCCTCTTACACTGGAAGGTGCATCTTCTCCAAAGATAGCTGTAGCAATCCAAAGAGATTTCCAGAACAAAGCACTAAGCTTTTGAAAATACTTGCCAAATATAAGCAGGCAATTTGAGCTATTACATCCATCCGGAATGAGTTTACCATATGCAACAAATTCAGCCTCTCTCTCAGGATTCCATTAAAATCTCCTTTGTCAGCGTCTTCAAATTTAACTAAAGCATTTCAGGTGTATGTTTGCTGATGAGCATTCCCAAATAACTAAAGGACCTGGCCAGAGTCTGAATTCTCAGCTAGCTAAACTATTGCGGCATATCGGTTCTCCAGTCAGCACCAGTTCAGGCTTTGGCCCCTTAACTGAGCAGCCGAAGAAAGTGTGAATCTTCTGGATCAAAGCTCGAACAGAAGGCTGGAGTTCTTACTGTTTCTTCTGAACAGTAAAAGGTCATCAGGATTAAAAATAAGTTGAAATACACAAATTCATGAATTTAGCTTTTGGTCAGTTGTGGAGCTTATGCCAAGGCTTCTGGACATAGGTCAAATGTCAAGGGGAAAGTGGCCATCCCCAGGTGGTGCCTCTCCAAGTTAAAGTTAAAAAGCAAAACGTAACAACAGACAGAACCTTGCCCGGGATCAACGGCAGGATGCCCCTTGCACACCAGTGACTGAGCAACGCCAGCGGTGGGGGGAGGGTTGCCCCCCAGCGCTACTTGTGGGCTTCCCGGAGCGTGCCAGCTGAGCCGAGCAGAGGAAGCTGCCCCGGCTGGCCCAGGCCCTCTGGGATGCCCGCGGCCGAGCGCCCGGGGGGGGGGGGACGGCCAGGGCAAGCAGACGGGGAGAGCCAACAGGCATTTGGTGGCTGAGGCTGGCGGGGAGAAGCGGGTCCACCACGCTGGACCCTTTCTAATTTGCATGCGTCTTTCTTAAAACTTGGTGCCCGGAACTGGACAAGGAATTCCAGATGAGGCCTGAGTTGTGAGGAGCGTAGGGGAAGTACAGGAGCAGGTATTTGGAAGTGAGACTTCCGCTAATGCACCCCAAAATAGCATCCGCCCTCTTTGCAGCAGCAGGTTTATAATGCTCCTAATATTGTGCAAAACAGAGCAGCCAGGCTGCTGACGGGGACTGGGCGTTACTCTCGTATAACCCCAGTCCTCTGCCAGCTTCACTGGCTCCCCATCGAAGTCCGGGCTCAGTTCAAGGTGCTGGTTATTACCTATAAAGCCCTTAATGGCTTGGGACCTGGATACCTGAAGGAACGCCTGCTTCCCTATTTGCCCTCCCGGCCCGAGATCGGCAGCAGAGGCCCTTCTCCGGGAACCCTCCGTGAAGGACATTAGGAGGGTGAGTACTCGGAGGAGGGCCTTCTCTGCGGTGGCGCCCAGTCTATGGAATGCACTCCCCAGAGAGGTCTGCCTGGCGCCGTCGTTACTTGTTTTTCGGCGCCAGGCCAAGACCTTTTTATTTAAAGAATACTTTAATTACTCTTAATATCATCGATAGCTTTTAATTTGCAGCCAGGGTGAATCTGGATTTTATTTGTATTATTTGTATTGTGTTTATTTATTTTATGTAAGTCCTCCCGAGGCTATGCGATGGGACGGCATAAAAAGATTCTAAATAAATAAATAAATATTTACAGTACCTTTAATCCTGCCTTACGTTTGGTTTTCTTTGTGTAGTGCCAAAACACAAACACCGCCCCCCCCCCCAAGATAACAAAACGACTCCTTGCTCCCCCCAAATAGCAGGAGCGATTCGGCGTTCGCTGCATTAGCCCAACTGCTGTGCAGACTGACCACGGGCGGGGGCGCACCGAGACGCGTGCGATCCTACCCGATCGCCTGCAGCTGCGCGCGCGCTTGCCCCGCCAAGGATGGCCCTGAGAGCGCGTGGACAGTCTGCTTGGGAGGCCTTGCAAGGGGGAGGGCCGCGCATCTCGACCCCCCCCCCGCCCCAATACTGCCCCCCGCCTGTTTCCCCTCTTGGCCGGATGCTCTCCAGAGCCGCGCCTTCCCGGCTTTGCAGCAGCCCAGCGCCGCGGAGGGATCGCTGGCAGAGGCGCGCACGGTCCCCTCCCCCCCCGGGCCGCCAGGAAAGACACGCCCGTGCCCGCCACTGCCACGCGTGTGCCTCCGGGGGTCTGCCTAGCGCAGGCACCGCCCCCCCCCCCCCGCCCGTTGTGCGCCTCTTCCCAGTCCTGGCGAGGGTCCAGCAAGGCTGGCAAACCTCATCCGCTCCGCTGGTGGATGCGGCGCTGCGCCGGAGCTGCCCGGTGCCCCGGTCGCGGCTGCGAGTGCAGGCGGCGCCCCCACCCGCGGGCGAGGGACGGGGCGCCGTGCCCTCCCGCCGGCACCTGCCGCCGTGCTGCCCAGCGCGGGGTCGGGTCCCGGCGCGGCGGCGGGTCCCGGTGGAC